GCCCAGCCACGGCCCCCCCCCCCCCCCACCCCGCCCTATTTTTTTTTACAGTGTGCTGTGCACAGCGACTCTGAGGTGCTTTGAGGTCAGTGAAAGAGTCGTGCCAAGTGGAAACGTGCATTTGGTGCACCCCAGTGAAAAGCGCAAGCAGGGAATCCCTTCCAGCAGTCTTTACTGTGCAACCACTATGACCACGCACATGCATACCCACACGTACTGTAAATGTGTGTAGCATGGATTCAGACACACTGTATGTAGAGTGGACGCACACACCCAGGCGCACAAAGGAATACAAGCTGTTCTCCTGTAGCTGCTGCAGATGGCCTCAATCACCTGGCCACATCAAACGAGTTGTGTTACTGACATGCATGTGAAGTTAGCCTGGTGAAGAGAGGTTTATTTTTTTCAGGAGAAGTTGTGGGTCTTTTTATAGCAAAGAGGAGTCATCACTGGAGGAAATGTTTGAGACGTGAGAGTTGTGAGAAGACTGAGCTCTAGAAACAGATTTAAACTCAGCAAGGGCAAACCAGAAGGAATGAAACACGCCCTCTAGATTCACAAAGCCTGTGATTGGTGATGTTTGTTTGTATTTTTACCTGACTCCGTCTCTCTGGATGTGCATCTGATTATAGATTTATTCTCATTGTATTGTGTGGTACATCTGGTGCTTGTGAAACTCTTTCAGAATCAGTAGAGTGGGATTCGTTTCCATCCAAATGTCATGCAAATTCAGCAGCAAACACTGATATGTCACAAAATTAGATGTGGGGTTGCCTCACATAAAAATGTTTGGGTGCAAAACAAGCATGCAGTTCAGGTCTGTTGTCATGTCTCTGCTACCAAAGCCCTCAGACCAACAAAGGAGTCCACTTCTGCAGCACAGACTGACCATCTCTCCTCAGGGCTCACTTTGTCTGTTCAGGCATAGTTGACAGTCTGAAGATGGAGCTCTGAAAATAGAACCTTGTTTGGTCAGCGCTACTGAATTTCTACCTTCAACAACTAATAATTCTTGAGCAGCCAGTCTGAAATTTTGCACTTATGTGACCTTGTTATACTTCATTAACTCCTTAATTTGTTCAAAATAATACTGTATCAGTCGATTTCCTTTTGGAAAAGGTTTTCACATGCAATTGAAGAGTGATATTTCTGTGAGATTTGTTCGGGCAAAATCTACCATAAAACAAAAGTGTATTTTAACCAAAGAAGAAGCAGAAAATGACACCAGTTCTGACGCTGTTAAAACTAAATGTGTTGCTTGTTATGAAGAGTGGATTTTAAGTGCCAAACATCAGGTGATGCTGATGCTCATAACGCTGCATACTGAACAGCATTTAGAAAGCTAAAAAGCTGGAGAGAAACTGGCACAGAACAGTTTGGCTGTATGCAGTTAATGACTCTGCACCGTTCTGCTGCGGTTGTGTTTGTGCCGCTCTGCAGAAACCTCTTATTTAGTCTCAGTCAAAGTTCTGGAAACTGGCTCAGAGTGGGTCCACTTGAAAATCCGTGGAAAAATAAAATGCATGCTGTGTTGGTTTTGTGGCTGCTGTCAGATGTATATTATAAGGCTGTAGTGAGCTTTGCCAGTTGGTGCTGTGAGAGAAGCTTTAAGCTGCCGCTTGGAGCAAAGAACGGGACCTACAAGCTGCTGCTCCAAAGGATAAAGTAAGTCTGTTGGGATGTTAGACGAGCTCTGTGTGCAAGTGTAAAGTCCAGGTGTGGAAAACATGACGTTTACCTTCCCTAGTCGTTCTAACACACTAGAAAAGGTGATTTCCGTGAGAAACAGGTTGGAATATTTTCACAGTACAGACAGTTTTTCAGATATTTATAGGAATAAGTGTTTTGGTAAATATGCTTATTTGTTTTTGCTAAAAGTTAAATGAAAAGATACCATAGCTTGTTCTAGCATTGATAAGACTAGAAACTAATTAGACGATGTAGCTTGGCTGTTTAATGTTGGTTAGATTTAGAGAGTGGTATCAATCAAATCAAATATTTCCTAAAACACCTGAACATTTCTTTAGTAAGATTAAAGGTTTCTCTGTCTTATTCTATTTAATCTCTCTGTAAGCCTTCACAACACAGATGAACCAGGAATTCACCAGTCAATTAACCGACTGAGTTGGTTTTCAAAAGTCCAGGATGGTCAGAGTGACCGGCATGTGCTTCTCCTGGATGTCAACACTCGGTCTGTGCAAGTGAGCATCACATCCTCCAAACACTGGATAGTATCTCAGCACTTCACTTTTCAATTTCACTGTCAGGGTGACACTGGATAATGTCTTTGTGACTTACTGATATTACAGCCATTAGCAGCAGAGCAGCCGGTCTGTTAGACCAGACAGTCTCCAGGTAACTGTAAAATAAATATTGACTCTGCCCGTGGAGAGGATGAGAGGGAGGGAGGGTCTACCTGGTGTTTACAATGTGTGACTTGTCACTTTTCTCTCCATTCTTTAAACAGTACTGCTCAGGTCACGGTCAGCTGCAGAGATGGTCCCCAAAGGCCTAGAGATGTGTTTACACTGAGGAGAAGCACTGTGTACTGGTTCAGCTTAATGGGGGGGTCACTACTTACTGTGTGTCCATTAAACCCTGTGGGCAGTGTGTGGATGTCTTATTCTTTCTGTAGGTGGCACACACCCTGCTGTTGATCCAGTCCTGGTAACTGTGCAGTTTCCCCTCAAACCAGAAATGGGAAACACATCACTTCCTGAGCACAACGGGACTTTTTCTAAGAAAGATGTACCACACACTGACAGGGTTTTACTTGCTACAGCTGGTTCATCATTAACCTTAAGCTTGACTGTTTAGTTTGTTTCCGGATTTAGCATCTGAAGCACTTCTGTTGGCGTATTTTACACATCAGTCTGTCTGCTGCATCCAGAGTGGAGATGGGTGTTTACAGTGCTCACAAGGCAAATATCCGCCATCTGGTTTATAGAATCCAAAGCAGGTGCCGGAGTTAGTGTGTGTAGCAATCAGAGTTCTGGGTGGGGCAGATGCCGGTGGTTAGTCACCACAAAGAGGAGATGTAAATCAGGAATCTCACCCTCCATCTGTGCAAACGGATACACTGTAACAGGGAGTGAAGCAGCTGGTATATGTGAAATGAGGAACTCTTAACTCTGTGTGGTTGTTTCATTCACATCGTCAGGGGGCTCTCAGGGTACCGGACAGTACAGTTCAGGTCGTGTTTGTGTGTCATGTTTGTGTTTAGTCTTTAAAGGACCAGTTCACCCAAATTACAGAAATACATTCTGAGGTATTCTCTTGTCTCCACTTTCTTTCCGATGCTGACACGAGTCCCTTTGTTCTGTTTCCCGCCTTGTGCCCTTTCTCTACCCTCCTCACCTGTTCTGCATCTGCCAATCATGCGCCACTGCATTTAGCTCGTGACTTCAGCATTGTTTCAGCTTTCATAGCCATCAGAGCTCTACGCCAGTTCATGTCTGTTATGCTCATACTTGCTCAACTAGAGTTTGGGACCTGAATTAAACCTCTTCTGTTTTCACAATATTCAGCCCTCTCGAACCTATCTTTTCCCTCTGCTGGGGGTCTGCCAGTGCCTGAGAGCGGCGTGCACCTCCTTAGCATTCTCTATTCATTCGTACTGAGTGAGGGCAGGTCCCTGCTAGTGAAACCAGCTTTTATATTGCATTTGTTTATTGTTGGACACTTTATTTTTACTAAACTTTGTTACTGTCATTCACTTCCTGTCTGGTGCTTTTAGTATTTGGTTTCAAACACAAAAGCCAACATTCAGTTCTGCTGAAAGTGTCACTCAAGGCTTATAGCACCTGAAGTCTTGGATCAAGTATTTTAAAACTGAAGACCTATGACTAGTGAAGGAAAAAGTTTTTGAACAGCTAAATCTGATTCTTCAGGGCTGCATGGGTTGGTTTGGTTTTACTGACATTGGCATCATGTGGGCAACAAGATTCTGGTTGTTGCATTGTGAAGTTCTGACCTGCAGGTTGATTTATGTGATGTAACATCTAACAATGATCCAGTATAATCAGAATTATTGGATAATAAGCTACTTTAGACCAACATTTTCTCACTCTTTCTTCTTTCAGGTGGACTTTGAGGATGTGATCGCCGAGCCTGCAGGGACCTACAGCTTCGATGGTGTGTGGAAAGCCAGCTTCACCACTTTCACTGTCACCAAGTACTGGTGCTACCGGCTGCTGACGGCGCTGGTCGGCATCCCGCTGGCTCTGATCTGGGGAATCTTCTTTGCCATCCTGTCTTTCCTGCACATCTGGGCTGTGGTGCCGTGCGTCAAGAGCTACTTGATCGAGATCCACTGCATCAGTCGCGTCTTCTCCATCTGCGTGCACACCTTCTGTGACCCGCTGTACGAGGCCATGGGCAAGTGCCTCAGCAGCATCCGAATCCGCATGACCAAGGAGGTGTAGCGTCCAAAAAGAAGAGGAGGAGGATTATTGGAAAGAGGGGAGGGAGGATGGGAGGGCTGGAGCAACACAGATGGAGGGAGAAGTCAGAACAGGAAAAGAAGCTGAAATAAACCTCTGGAAAACGAGAGGTGAGACGTTTCCAAAACTGGGGGCGGGGGATGGTTGGGTGAAGGGGTGTGGCCACATGGCACCTGACCCCGCCTTTTCCACCAGCTGTTTCTTCTCTCCAGTGTTGGCGTAACCAAACGGGTGGGCACAGGAAATCAAGGGGTTGTTCTTCGGGGTTTTTGTTTGTGTTCTCTAGTTTTTTTTTATTCCTCACTGTTAACTTTGTCAAGCAGGCAACCAAACTCATATGTGTTTACTGATAGTTTTACCACATGAAAAGAATTCCTGCTCTTCTCACTGTTTCTGTGAAGAGCATATCACTTTGATTCATGTGAAGAGGGGATGATAATTATCACTGTCTTCTCTAGGGCTAGTTAGTTTTGGAGCCTCTGGGCGGGGTAGGCTGCTGGGATGTTGGGGTTGGGCAGGTCAGGGCAGAGAGAAATGGAAAGCACTGCCAAATTCTATCTGAATCAGCAAAAATAAAACAATTCCACAAGCCGAGCAGGACAGCACTGCCCCCCCCGCCCCCTCGGCCCCACATGACCTCCATTCCTCCAAACTCCCGCCCAGCTTTCCAGCAGTCTGACACACTGAACCTGCCCTCGTTCCTGCATGCGCCTGCGTCACCTCACCAGCAACTCACCGTCCCCTGCCCCGACACCCGCCATGCCTGCTACGCGCCCTGATGACGCAGATGTGACTCACTCACTGACCCCCTGCATCAGCTTCTTATTTCTCCACCTCAAGCAAAACCTTTCACTGCAGGTTTCATCAGCATCATCTTCATAATTACATGTGTGTGACAGAACGCTGATGCTCAGTGCTTTTAAAAGCACATCATCATAGCTCCACAGTGAATTTCTTTTTCTGTACTATGAATATGAAGAATTTGATGGGTTCACTTTAGTGCCCTTGTTTTGATATCCTGATGTACTGTGTGGGTGTTTCTGCAGAAAATTAGACTTTATAAGCTCTGGCCTCATTCCAGTGCACTTACCTGTGGAAAAGCATTGTAAGTGAAAAGTGCTAATGAAAATCTCTTTTCTACATAAGTAATTTGCAAAGGTAGTGGAGTACTAACAGCCACTTTTGCACTTAGGATGTGCAGCTTATGTGGAGATTATTCTTATGCACTGGTACTTACACAGGTTTATGCATTGGAATAATGATAATGTGAGTTGGCATGTGTGATTTTGGATGCTCCTTTATTTGCTACCGGACACAATTCCTCCCCCACTCCCTTTTTTTTGTTGTTGTCTTTATTTCTCCTGACAAATTTGTTCTGCTGCCCTGCTTCTGGATTGTGAACATGATGCTGACACTTCCCTCTCCAGGGGTGGGTGACAAGAGGGATGGGTGGTGTTGGGGGGGGGGGGGCACTAGGTGTTCTCACAAGGATAGTAATATCACAGCACCTGCTTCTTGAACTTGAGTTTTTATGCTCTAAAGGTGATATTTTTATAAGAAATTATTTTTCTCCTTCCTTGCATTTATTGTACAATATCACGCTGTGCACATTAAAATTTAATATAATCCAGTGTGCAACTGTTTGCTTTTTTCAACTATAAGTTCATTACCAGGATTGATAATGGGTAAGGTGATCACAACCATGTGCCTCTCCATAAAAGTCAGATATTAACAGAGGAGCCTTTGTCCTTTTTTCACTTGTGATTTTGAGTCATAGCAAAGCCAACTGTGTAATTATTCACAGTAGATACTTTGTGACTGCAACCAGCCAGTTGAAGCTACTTGTGGAAAAAGTGCATAAGAATGAGGTTAGAGCAAAAGCAGCTGAAGTATTTGTATCAAAGCCTGTAGTGCTGCTCATGGGCTTTTTTACCGAGCCTGGCACAATGTTTCCATGACAACACGAGAAACAAATAAGTGTTGAGCAATGCTCATGAGACTGGATTCAAGTCACTTATTCATGTTAATTTACACCAAACGTTATCACGCAGCCTGAGGCAAACTTGGCCTCTCACTGTAAACTGTATTGTTTAGTAGTAACACATTTAGAATACACTTTACAATGGCCGATTGTTTCAATCATTCACCAGTTATTTTCAGTGACACAATGAATACAGTAGAAAAGGGGGAAAGGGCTTGTTTTGTAAAGCTGCCTTCAGGTTTTTGTTTTGACTTATGCAGCATACGTTGACAGTAGCCATGCCCAGTTTGTGCCTCTTGTCTATTATAACAGTGGAGTTACAGATCAACAATTCTGGGTCAGAAGTATGTGGACATCTAAGCTCTGCAACTACATATAATTGTTGAATATGTCAGTTCATTTCTATTGGGGATTAATCTGGACTCTGCTCTCCTGGTTTCACGCTGTCCATGAGTTTTGGAGCCTGGCACCAGTGATTTTTTTCCCATGAAGCCACAAAAGCTTTAGTGTGGTTGATAAGGCCGGGCTCCCAGTCTGTGCTCCATGCCAGCCCAGTGCTGTTAGACAGGATCAAGGTCAGGGCTCTCAGCTGGGCAAGCCAGCTGAGTTCTTCAGCAAGGACTTTAGATCTTCAAGGACCTGTCTGTTTGGACATGCACAGCAACAGGAAAGATCCTACTACTGAGCAGGATGCAGCTAAATGTGCTGGCTGAGGGGAACCTTCACACCCCAGAGGGGAAAGTTCCAGTGTCTTGCAGTGCAGGACCAAAGCAGACATAACAGGAGCATGAGAGAACAAAGGGGCTGTTTGGTTACCTGGACGCACACAACAGGGTTGGACTCTGGCACCTGTGAGCTCATGGCAGTGACACGACACAGCCAGGGTGAGAAGTTACCACCTGCTCTTATAGCAGCTCAGTGCTCATCTGTATGGCAACAGTAAGTGTGAACGGTAACATGTCACCAGATGATTTTGGAATAAAACAGGCTGTTGTGTAATAGATGTTTGGATGTGTCTTTCTTACATTTTGGGGTTTTATTGGCTTCTATTCATTTACATACTCGGGCGACAAATAGATATGCAGACTTGATGCTGGTATTAACCCAAGCAAGTTTTAAGAATCTGATAAATGAGTTTTATACAATGCTGAATGCAAGTGAAGACATGCCTTATGGAGAGGGAAAAGCACATCCAAAACTCTTAAAAAACTTCAGGGTATAGTATAGATCATTTGAATGGGACTGAGTTGGAACCTGTTCTACCCTCTGTGCCGTGCATCCTAGGAAAGGCTCCAGCATCATGTAAATAAGAACAGAAAGTAGAAAGTAGAAATAATAAATAAAGGGGGATTTGTACTGAGCTGCTTTATGATCTCTTGATTCGCTTTTAAGATACTTACCTTTTCCAATACAACAGCTCCCTCTAGTGGAGGTAATGGAGAAATTTATATATAATAGGGTCAAATGTATGTGAAGAAACCCAAACAATACATTTATATGTGGTCATTAAATATCTCCACTGAAGCCATGCACATTAAAACTGTTCTATAACAGCCTCCAGTCTTCTGGTTCCACCAGGAACCCCGGTGCAGGGATTTGGTCACATTTAGCTACAAGAGCATTAGTGAGGCCCAGCACTGATGGTGGCTCACAGACAGGTGTTGGATGGGGCTGAGGTCAGGGCTCTGTGCAGGCCAGACAGCTATCTCTTTATGGACCTGTTGTTGTCATGTTGAAACAAGAGTGTTGATGAGTGCTGAACACAGTTTTGTCCACAATATTAATGTGTGCTGTCGCATAGAGTTTTCCTTTAATTAAAACAAATGAGCCCATCCCAGAACAATATCTTTGCATGAGCACCAGATGTAACAAATGTGAGGTAAACATGACTTCCAGTCTCTTCCCTCCTCCTCAGGTTAGGATGACTCAGGCAGTGAAAAGTCGAAGACTCAGTGACATAAACACTGCAGCTTTTAACCACCTGAAGAGCTGCCGCATAAGCAGCTGTTTCCTCTCACAGCAGGCACGTCAGACACAGCAGCGATTAGAGACAGAGTTCTTAGTGATTCTGAGCAATTTGTTGCTGTCAAAATACCTCTGATAGAAACAGTCACATTTCATGAAAATGGTGGTGAAGAGGATTCTTTTACAGCTTCAGCTCTCTGGGGTTTGTTAGGTCAAATCTTTAAAACCTGGAGCCCTGTCTGCAATAAGCTGGACTGCTGCCTGCTAATTATGGTTCATGGAGTTTCATTCTTCAGACAGGCCTTTCCCAGTGGCAGACAGTAACTCCTTTCGGGACTTTTTCACTTAAAAAACCCTTTGTGTTTGATACCAGCAGATTGTTAGATAGACTACATTGTATTTACCTCTTTTGTAGAAAGGGATTTTTGCAAAGTGCAGCCTGTTGTTCTGCCCCCCCATCAGTAGGTGCTGACTGACTGTTCTTTTGTCTGCTGTCCACAGGAGCTCTGCCCTTGCTGCTCTGTTAACAGACATCTGCAGCTGAAACACATTTCTGAGGGTTGTTACAAAGCTGGTTTCTTCGGTCAAATCACACACACTGCTCTATGTGTTCTCCAGCATGTCCTCTTTATTTGGCTTTAACAGACGGACCCTCTGGGAAGCCGCTGCTCTCCTGGTTTGACCCCATACAAGCACTTCTCAGGCTGTTTGCCTGCAGGGTCTGTCCACATTCTTTGGTCAGCTGAATTCAGCTTACTCTTATCCTTGTGATGTGTTCATTGCACCTGAATTGTTTTAAGATAAATGTGTGCTAAAGGAAATTCCATATGCGTTTTTGGGACTCACTGAATGGAAATGAATCTTTGAGACAAACAAGAAACAAACAGGTTTTAATTTTTATCACATTTCACTCTATTTGTAAAGCTTTGCTGGGTTTTACTTCCTGATTGTCTCATACAGAGTCTCTTTTCCCTTCAGTCTTTTAAATTAGCATTGGCCGTTGATAAATTTACAGAAGTGCCTTTGTAACCAAACCTATAATGAAAACAGGCCTTCACATGCATGCAAGGGGAAATCCTACATCCAACATTTGTAGAGGAACAGTCTGAATCGTTTTTGGCTTGATGCCTTCTCAGCTGCTAGGGCACTGAAAACTGAAAATGATGAAGCATGCTATGACATCAAGCGAAAGGAAGGCTGGCACAGCTCCATCCCCGCGGGCTCAGAGTCCACCACACCAGCTCTCTGCAGATGTGCCTTCCCCCATCACACCTGGTTTTCTGTCAGTCAGTCAGTACAGACAGTACAGACATAAGCAGAGCAATGTAATACGTATGTGCAGTGAGAAAAGCCAAGACGTGTGCATTGGAGAAACAAAGTGTAGGACTATGGTTCTTCTTACCATTGCTAACTC